CTATTCGAAAGAGAATCTTTCCCTTCACAAGATGGCCTTTTTTTTTTTTTTTTTTTTTTTTTTAAATCTTAGTTACAGATCATTAAAATGGAGTGTCAAGCTGAAAAAATAAGCATTTTCGACACCACCTTCTTTTTGTGTTTAATCGAGGCACCAATACTCCAAAAGCTGCCCGAGAGAATTGTGAAGTGTATGGAGAAGGCACAATGCCTGAAAGAGCTGCAAGAAACTGGTTTGCTAAATTCAAAAATAAAAATTTTAACCCCGAAGACTCTGCTAGTTCCGGATGACCAAATGAATTTGATGAAGAGCGTTTGAATCAACATCTGCACGTAGACATGCGTCAAACCACTCGAGAGTGAGCCAAACAAATGGTTGTAGCCAAATGACTATAGTTCTGACATCTTGGGTCTATGGAGGGAAAGTCCAAAAACTCAGATATTATTGACTAATGTTTTTTTTTTTTTTTTTTTTTTTGTCAAAATAAAAAATAAAAAATTAAAAAAACGACGTTTACTTATGTTTCAACCTAATAGTTCATGTTAACTTTTAAAACACAAAATGTTAATTTATTATATTACATACTATTAAACATAAAAGATATTTTTAATTTCTAACATTACCTGCTTTATAACAGGTTTCCGGTTAAGACGATGTAATTTGGGGCATAAATTATTGATGGCAATTGAGAAATCCCGCAATTCATCAAGTCTGTAAACAGGACAGCCATAAAATGTAATAGCATCTTCTACACTAGTACACAGCACTTCAATCATTAATGGATCTTGGGGTACCTTAAATAAAAGTACTGTAAGAACCTTTGGATCACATTCCTACGTAATATGGACATTAAATTTGTTTTAAAGTTTTAAATTTGTGAATAAAATGTATAAACAGCATAAACCATTTAGTATTAAAAAGTTTCTTCAATGTATTCACAACAAGAGGCCTTACACTTTAAAAGAGACTAAATATCATTATTAACAAAAGAAATTCCATGATGAATGATGAAACTTCTCTTCAAGATATACCAATTTCCTATGACAACACATATATATTTAAAATAAATATTGAGAAGTTAAAATTCTGTGAGAGATGACTTGAAATTATTAGAATATGAAAATAAAAAAATTGAGCTTAATTAATAATAATCTTAATAATGAAATAAATTGGAATACTCACCATTTTCTCTTAAAAGACATTATTTCATTACAATTTTTAGTGAGCAATTTGAACACAGTATGAAGTTTCAAAAGTCTAGATTTTAATTACTTATCAATTCTGTATTATACAGTCAAAAGCCGTTAATCCGGACACCCATGCTCCGGAATGATCTATAATCTGGACCTCAAAGCTAAAAACTTTCTGCGCATGCGCCGCGTTGACACATGCGCATAGGCGTTTACGCGTGCACGTAAGACCTTTACGACTGCGCATATGCATGTGTGCAAGCACAGAATACGTTTTTGCGTGCGCGTTTTATGTATAACGGACGGTATAAGCTAAAATTATCTAATTATCTATTTCAGTTAATGTTGACGATTGCGTCATTCCTTAATCTTCAAACTGGATCCGGATTATTATTTTTTGCAGACTGTAAGAGCAATTTTATAAAAGTAAACTTGAACTTTCGATTATGTCAAATAGAATTTCCGATGCTGGAGCTCCCAAAGGATCTACAAAACGAAAGTATGTTTCGATGTCCATCAAACAAAAAGTGGAATTTCTGCAAAAAATGGATAAAGAAGACATGAAGAAGGCGACAGATAGGTTAGTGAAAACGAAAAAATTTCGATTGACAAGTTAGTCGGTATTCTCGGCACAGCAATTACAGGACTTGAACAGTGGAACTTTGTAACTGAACAAGAAATTATGTCTGTTTATAGAATTAAAGAGAAAGTATTAGCACAAAAAACGAAGCAACTTAAACAACTTACATTGAAAGAAATGTTTAATAAAGTAAACAAATAAATATTAATTCAAAAGTCAAACAACAAAAATCAGCGTTTTTTGTTGTTTGACTTCTGAATTAGTATTTATTCAGCGTGTTATTGTGTCTTAATTAAATAATTAAGCTTTTTTTTTTTTTTTTTTTTTTTTTATATAAATTTTGATACCCTTTAGATCATAATTGTTCTTTATTTCATAAATTACGGTTTCATATTTTTAATTTTATAATTTCTGCATGCCGTCTTACCAGATTTAAACTGATGATCTATAATCCCGATTTGCCGAAGTCCCGACGAGTCCGGATTAACGACTTTTGACTGTATAGGTATAAAAGCTGGGATCAGATTTAATTTTTTAATACTGTTTTTTAATCAAAGTATAGGGTGAATAAGGATCCTAACAAGGGCAGCTGACTCATCATTTGTGTTGTATTCAAATGAAGAGTACTTGTTGCTAATGGACATTGATTTAGCATTGTGGTGTTTACATTTGTATTGATGGATTGCGACCTAATTCCAAGTAATATGATTGGATGTGCTGCATCACATTATTCATATCATTCCAGAAACAACTTTTGTATGTTCTCTTTCCAGAGAAATGAAGAAATACATAGAAAATGGATAATTAATTCTTGTCAATTGAAATGGATTCTGAGTACAGGAGTGTGCGCTTTTGAGGCAAGTTCAGCTTCATATGTTTTCATAATTGTTAAAAAAAAAATTTTCATGTTTCAGCAAAATGTGTTTTTTCATTTAAGTATTGCTAATTAATGACAAATTGATTTGTATGTACAAAATGAATTGCAGAATGTGTCTGTATAGTCAATACACAGATACCATATTATCGAGTCGATGCTGACGCGATTTTTTTATTGTTATTATCACAAAGGGATAAAGTTTAAAAAGAATTATATTTTACATTTGATTTCAATTTTGCGCCTGATTAGAGCTATGAAGTGCGCTTTTTATTTAAATTTTAAAACGAGATTCATGGTTTAAAACCGTATATTATTTTTTTACCCTGTTATATTGTCGTCAAATCGGTCAGTTGGCTCCAATGCAAAAAAAAAAAAAAAAAGTAAACATCAGATAAGATGATTAAAATTATGCATTATATAATGCTTCCTTTAAAGTAACAGAGTAACATAAATATATCATATTTATATTCATTTTAAAGAAGGTAAGCATCAATTTAAGTATTTAATGAATAATTTTGACTTTATTTCATACATCATGTAGACTATATTTCCAGCTCTTTCATTTAACTGCAATTCCTGTCAATTTATTTCCAATGTATGAACATGAAATATGTTTTAAAATGCTGTGCAAGCCTATTCACTCATTCTTAATTTAATTCAGTTTTCATATCAGAATTAAAATTTATCAGACAATTGCTTTCTTAATATGTAATTAAAATAATTTAATAATATATATTACTGTAGTTTAATGCTTTTGATTTTAATGTTTTCAGAAATTTGCTAAATCAAGTTCATTTTTGTGTAACCTTGCATCAAAGGCACCAATAATAAATCTGTTCTAGCATTCACTGCTAAAAGTTTTAATGAAAAACTTATTACTGCTGTAAAAGAATGAAAAAATATTTACTTGGTAATCAGTTTTATGATATTGCAATAACTTAAAGGCCTGTTTCTTAAGTTGCATAACTTGCTTTCATAACTTCTTGTCATCTTTATGTTTTACTCTTCTGTGTTATCAAATAAATATGAAACGTATATTTCTAAGCAAATATCCTTCATTTCACAACAGTGTTATGTACCGTGATGTGTGTTGGCATTTATTATATAGTTATGAATATTATTCATTATAGAGTTTTATTTATTTATTAAACATATTCAAGTTATATCATTATGTATTATAGAATTTTCCTTTTAGAATATATTACATAATATTAAGTTGTTAACAGAGCTATAGTACACTTTTTTTTTTTTTTCTTTAAAACGTCTTTTGAATCACTTTTTTTTTTCAGTATGCATACAAAACTTACTTGACCCATATTTTTCACAAGTTAATGTGATTTGTGTGAATAGAATGTGTCTTTTAGGTTTGCTATTTTCGTGAAGGACTTAAAATAAAATTATAACCTTTGAAGACGTTTCATAGATAAAACGTTGAAGCAATAGTGCTGAAAAGGCAAAGAGGGCACACCACACCTGTATTGCAACCTTAAAAAATGGTTACGGCATGGCTGACGAGTCAGCCTGCATCTCTAGGAACTCTATCATTGGTTACTTCGAAAACAACATAACTTCTGACCACATGATAAACAGCATCGCAGATCAGATAACCTCTGGCAACCCCTACGAATTCGACTGGTAGGGAAGTATTTCAGTTGAATATGAAAAATCACTCATTTTCAAAAGTGATCGCTAATGCTGGATGTAACAATTGATATTTGAGTGATTGTTGGTGTTTCAATTGAATGAAGCCTTTAGCTTCTTTATTTCTAATGACCGTTATTCTTTCATTACGTACACTATGGTTCTTCGTATTTTGAATACTTATTTAATTTACGTAATCATATGAACTTAACCCTTCAGTCTTTAAAATATAAAAATGAAAATATGAATAAACTGTAAATTGATTTCATCCATTAATAATAACATGGATTATTCTTCTTTCCTGTATTTTTTTAACTACCTTCAAATTAACCATGACTATGAATTACCCAAGAGTAAAAAATTTTTAGATGTGAAGTTAGTTTCCTCCATTTAACAGGTAACAGTAATATTTTAAGTTTATACCTTTCCTTAGGCTTTCAAGCTAACTTTGTCTTGAGTATAAATGAAACAATTAAATGAATAATAAAAAAGACAGTAACATAATACACAAAAAACAATTTTTAAATCATTCTCAACAGAACGACAATGATTAATTTATATTCTATAACACAGATTTACATTTAGTTTCTTAAAAAAAATTAACATTAAATAACTAATTGACATTAGTTATTAAAGGTTAAATAATATTTTATACAGCAATAATATAATTACCTTACGAAGTTGTCCTTTTGAACAGTTAAATAAGAAAGCAGATGTAAAATTAATTACATTTCACAGTTAATGCTTTTGTAAACAACATATATCTGTTTTTAATACAAATTCACATTTTGATAAGAAACTGAATTTTGAAACCATTTCATTTTAAAATAATTTTATTGTTAATATTTACTACATTGGTGTAAAAATATCCTGAAATACTCAAGTAAGTAAATTTTGAGCATATGAAACACTGTGCTAATCCTTGAAAATGAACTAAAAAATTAATAAAACCCTTCTGTAAATATGAACTGAGATAAAATTGTAAGATATGTTCAATTAAAGAAACAAAAAGAAGGATACTACGGAAAATTTAACAGAACAGGTGATAACATTAGCTGCTACAGAAGAAATCGGAAGCACAAGAAAAATATAAATAAATAATTTCAAGCAGCATTAACAGGAAATGGTATTGCACCATCTCAGCAGTCTCTGAATATGAACACTGAGACTCAGTGAAGAAGAAACTCTGAGCTGAGAACAGATTTTGAGACAAAAGGAGCAAAAGATACTGAAATCTACAGAAGAATAACTTCCATCATGAACTGCAAGCATTACAGTTTACTGCTTTTCCTGTGATGAAACCTTTTCTCTGTTTCTTAGACTGCTTAAAGAGAAAATGTGAAATGTTCCTCCCTTTCCAGTCATTTAATACAACCCATCTTCCCTATAGGATCATGTAAGCATATCCATAATTTTCTTTTAGAAAACCTGACGGAAGACATAAACACTAATCTTCAATAACTTCAACAGAAGGCTAGTATTAATGCCTTCCCTCGGGTTTCTTAAAGAACCATCAGATTATTGCTTCAACTGCTCTTAAATTTATTTGTGCAAAATTATGAATATTAAATATGCATGTGAAAATTGCATTTTTTGACATTACTTTACAGTTGAAATAAGAATTATGTTGTGAAAAACAAATGGCTATCTCAATTAAATAAACATCAGTTAACAAGGAGGAAAAATTGTAGTAATAATTATTTAGCCAGAAAAATTTTTAAGCCAAACTTAGAATAAGATTAACAAGCTTCTTTAACCTTACAGTTTGACTTGCTTTAAGAGCATAAACTAGTTTCAAAACCTACAAGACGTTACATAAATTATCGTTGTGTTTGAAATTTACCAAGTCTTGGAAAGGTTTTAAAATAAAACTTCTTATTTAAACACTAGCTTTGAACATAAACACACACTACTTGTGCTAACAAGATCTGCCACAACTTGTGCCAATGTAACTAAAATTACAGTCAAAACTTAAATTAAAGCTTTGGCTAGTAGTCAAAGACCACACAATTAAATTTAAATCTACGCTGGCTCAAATTTTCTAGCCGGATATCAAATTTAAATGTCAGCAGCAAATTGCAAAGCCAAATAATTTCAAACTTTTCAGAGCTGGCAGGAACCACGTATCATGGCCATGAGGGGTAAAAACAGTACCGCTTACAATCCTAAAACCTCAGCTTAAATACTCTCCAGCTGATTTACATTTCTAGTGAGGAAAAATGAGGAAGTTTGAATAAAGATCTAAATCATAATAATTGGATAGTTTCAAATATTAACCCTACAACCTGTTTTGAACTGTTAAGGCAAACAAAGAAAAGTACAGTTAACAGAAAAAAAAAATTTAGAACTATATTTCAGTAAGTTCACACTTTAGCTTATAATCTCACTTTTAATACTCACAATCCTCAGAAAAATTATAGAATTCAGTAAACTACCTTTCAAGTGATGTGCTATTTATATTTATCACAAAATATCATTTCATTTTAAACAATACAAAAAAAATATTATATTACAAATACAGGATTTTTTACCATCACTAAAAACATTATTTCAGAAAAGCATATATGCTTAAGAATATTTTTCATTAGACTTCACATTTAGAAAAAAACTACATTTTCATGACAGGAAATAAGTAAAATTATGTTAAAATATAATCAAACCCCGTTACAACAAACTTCAAAGGACTAAAGTTTGGCTCAATATATCTGTACATAACATACACTATATCAGATCTAATTTTAAAAAATGGATCATATCACAAAATAGTATAAAAATTGATTGATGAAGCAAACAGAAAGAGTGATTAGCATTGTCACATTTCCCTAAACATGTTAATACAGTAGAAGTCCAGAAATCCACAAAGCTTGGGACCAGAGGTTGTTCGGATTTTAGGATTTAGCGGATTTCGAGACAGAAAAGATAAATCATAATATTCAGGCTAAAAATGCAAAATAAATAAGGCGTATTAGATATATTTAATTAAATTATATAAAGATTATTACAATAATTTATTATATGCATTAAAATTATTATTACATAGTATATAAATTGATTATATATAGGCTCCTCTATTTTTAAATCAGCATGAATCTGCTTCCCCTTTTCTCTTAGGAACAGTCCCGAAATTGGTACTCCATCACTCGGGCGGCTGCTGGAACCACTCGTACGAGACGGCATTGAGATTTGCCGATTTCTCCTCATGTAAAGATTTCCGGTTTTGGATGCCGGTGTTAGAATCACTATTGCTGTAAAATTTTAACAGCTTTTCTTTACTTTCCCATATATCATACACAGTCCGTGTTGCAATTCCATACGATTCTGCATTAAGCCGAGAAGTAGCGCCTGCCTTTCATCTTTTGCAGAATTTCCACTTTTAGTATTACCATCCATGCAACATGATTACGTTTTTCAACATTGCAAGCAGTAAAATCATGAGTGCATTTCTTATCTGTCATCGTATTAAAAAGCACTGAAATTTAAAATATTCTTAATTTATCCCCAAAACATCTGAATTAAAAAAAGAAAAAGGGCAGCACTAAACAATCTCGTGAAATAACAAAGCTCACAAAATACAACAACGTGCATTGTGAACTTGAAAGAAGAGTTGAATGAATCGTCTGCTTTTTTACCTCGATGCAGATTAAAGAAAAAAAAAAAACTTTTAGCATGATGTCAATAATTTGGTATCTCCGTTATGACTCATTATTATTTGGTAATTATGACATCATTATTCGTTAAGTATTTTTTCTTCGATATTTTGTACTCCATGTTGCGATTTCCGAAACCTATAACCTGAATGTTTATATTTTGACAGGCAAAGCGGATTTCAGGTCAGCAAATTTCAGGTATTTGACTGTAGCAAAATAAGTTTCACAAAAACATACTAAAAGTTAATTAAAATTATTATTATATGCAATTACTAAATTTCTTTTTCATTGGATTTCAGTTTCTTCCTGTAATAATATATTGGTGATGTTGATCTACATAAGGGCTGTATTCTGGGAGTTTGCAAATTCTAGTAGCTGGAGCTTCATCGATCTCATGACGGTTAATTATTAAGCTAGAGTTCTTAGCTTGGCATTTCCTGTACTTTGTCAGGAAACAGATGTTGATGCATTCTAAAAATTTTAATAATTTTTAATTGGTCATAAACGGGATGCTTGAAGTGGATGGTAGAGAAATGTTTATTTTCAAAAGATTTGTTGCTATGTAGTTCATATTTACAAAAGTCTATTATAATGTCTTTAAACAATTGGAGGCCTTCAAATTTAAATTGAAAGTGATACAGCAATAGCTTAAGGATTTTGTGTTTGAAGGCATGGAGAAAATTGATAATATTTTTGGTGAAGAAATGTTAAAAAAAATTAAGAAATTTTGTAATCAATTATTCAGAATCTAAAGAAGAAAAAAAAAAAAAAAAAAAAAAAAAAAAAAGTGTTTTATTTCTATCACCTCCTCTTGTTCCTCTAATTGTTTTTTTACAGAATCTTCCAAATTGACTATAAACTGAATTGTCTCTATCTCTTAAATTATTCTGTAAATTCTTATTTACAGAATAATTTAAGAGATAGTAGTCTGTAAGGGTAGTCCGTGTTTTATTTTGTAATACGTAAATGGATTCCTTAAAAATCTTACTTTGGCACTGGGAATAATATCCAAAATAGAAATGCTTATTTGTTCGAAATCACGCAACTGAAAAATGTTCAAGAATCGCAGTATAGCTATCGGTATCTATCTTATGAGGCAAACGTCTAAATTTTTTAATGCGAGCTCATCGGTTATTGATTCTAATGTTAATTTTGTTCTAGGTCTGTCCAATATAACTTAAGTTACATTTATTACAAGTGATTTTGTAAATACAATTAAATGTTTCTCAAAGTGTTTGTTGTTGTTTTTTAGTGAGCGGGAGAAGAAGTGGTATTTAACTTACAAGTTTTTTAAAGCGAATTTTTACATTTGATTATTTCAATTGACTTTAACTGAGCTCAGGTATAAAAGTAAAGAGGAAGCTAACCTACTTTACAAATAGTCTTTTTTGAAAGGAAAACTAAAAACCTAACATTGATCAATATTAAAGGGGAAAACCTTGCAAATTTACCATTCATAAAATGAAAGAAAACCTTAAAAGGAAGCAGGAAGCAATAGCGCTGAAAGCTGCTAATGGTTGTACGTACATGAATACATAAAGAAACTTAAGAGGCAAAAATTAAAAACAAATTTTTTAAACCCGTCCTGCATTAAAGCTGCAGGATTGAAGTAAAACAAACTTAAAGCATCTAAGTTAAAAGTAAACTGAAGTCAAAGTAAGGCAATTCCTCAACAATATTAATTACTGCATCCTTGTGAAGGGGTTAAACACAAAATCTAAACAATTCAAAATAAAAATAATTATAGTAGTACAAACTCAAAAACTAAAAATGCAAAAAGGGAAAATATATACAAGATAATAAATAGAATATAAATTTATTGAAACTCCAATTCAGAACTCATCAGGAGAAAATAAATTAAAGCTTCATAAAAGTTGATTAATATGCTTCAAAAACGTGTTTCGTTCTTCCAGTAAATTTGGGATCAAAAAAGAAACAAATTTACATTACATTAAAACTCATATAAATCCGAAAAAAGTGAATCTCAAATGTACCAGGATTTTCCCTACACGCCATCAAAACACTTGGGAAAAAATCTTCACATAATCAGGGTACAAAACTTCTTTGAAACTAAAAAAAAAAAAAAAAAATTTTCATTTTCAACAGTTATCTCAAGTACAATGTCCATGTTACTCTGACATCTACAAATACTTGGATGATATTATTGCAATCAACAACTTAATAAAATAAAATTTGATCACATCTATTCATTACGTTTGAAACTTAATAAAACTAACTTTCAACAAGGAGATATTAATTACCTTGATTTGCAAATTATGGCTTTCAACAAGGAGATATTAATTACCTTGATTTGCAAACTATCAATTATACAGGTATCAAAATTTAAGACAAAAGAAGAGATGTTGATTTCCCTACTATTAAACTCATCCATTGGCACTCCTACATATCCAAAAGAATAATACTAAATACCATACATACTCAGCTCCTTAGAATAAAAAATATTCGCAACAACATCGAATACTTACAAAAACAAATCAATTATTACATAAAAATTCTCTTTGAGAATAAAACATCTCTATTCAAAATTCCTAAAACTCTAAAAAAGCTGGTATTAACTAATTTTTTTTAATTTCTCATCTATAGTGATATGATAGTTATTACTTAAACTTTAATCGGAGGCAATAGTTCGAGGGCTACGATAAGAAATTTAATGTAAATATGTACAAAGATATTGTTTCTTTTCCCTTTCAATTATTATGAATACTTCCTTTCTACTATTATATTAATCTATAACTGGCAAATTTTCTTGCTTTTACTAAAAAGATTGGGCTTTTGAGTTTCAAAGACGTTTTGTACCCCGATTACGTTAAGACTTTTTTTTTATATATATAACATACACCTTTCTTTTTCCTCAACTTTGAGCCTGTACTACTTTCAGATTTTAAGATTTTACAGAAGACAGCATCTTTTAGAGATTTTTAACACCGCCATTTTGAAATTCAATGATCATCCTTCCCCGTGGTAATCATTTTTACCACCGCACCAACAACTTACACTGCACAAAAAATTAAACAGGATAGATTTTTTGAACACATGTTTAAATACTTAGTTTTGCTATAGGATATTCTGAACCTTATTGCATACTTTTTCCAAAAACTGCCATCTTCGGCTTCTTCAGAGCCACAATGAATTCTATAAGACACTCAGTTTGGCCATCTGAATAATGTAAATTTCCGTTTGAAGGACATCATATAATTTCAGTAAGTTTGCACTTTTTCAATTTTGTTTCTAATAGGCTTTGAGTTTTTTATAAAAATTATGAAGTAGGCTCAGGTTTGATTTTAATATTTAATGCAATCTCTATGGAAAGATTTTTGAATTAAAAGTTTAGTTAAGCATAATCGGGGATCGCCCATTTTTAGAGTATTGTTTAAATGACTACTTGGTTTAAAGTATATTTGTATTGTGATCTATCTTTATATTTGATTTTGAATTTTGTATTTGCATATAATGTTTTTAGAAATCACCCCCCCCCCCGGAATGGTCATTTTACAACTTTTTTTTTTTTTTTAGTCAATTTTAAACAATGTTATGTATTATTCTTTTTTCCAAATGTTTTGAAGGCGTGTAGAGAAAATCCTGGTACATTTGAGATTCACTTTTTCAGTTTTATATGAGTTTAAATGTAATGTAAATTTGTTTCTTTTTTATCTCAAATTTACCAGGAGAATGAAACACATTATTGAAGCATATTAATCAACTTTTATGAAGCTTTAATTAATTTTCCCCTGATGAGTTCTGAATTCGAGTTTCAATAAGGGGAGATTAATTTTTATTATCTTGTATATATTTTCCCCTTTTGCATTCTTTGTTTTTGAGTTTGTACTACTATGATAATTTTTATTTTGAACTGTTTAGATTTCATATTTTAATCCCTTTACAAGAATGTAATTATTAAAATTGTTAAGGAATTGCCTTGCTTTGACTCCAATTTACTTTTAACTTTTCAGTTTATTTTACTTCAAACTCACAGCTTTAGCATGGGACAGGTTTAATTTTTTTTTTTTTTTTTTTTTGCCTCTTATTAAATTTCTTTAGGGTGGAAAAGAGAAGAGCAAACTGAAATAGTTTTAGAAAATAAACATACCTTCATCTGCAAAATATAATACAAGGAAAAGTTCTCTGTAATAAATTATAACATCCTTTACTCTTAAAATTTTGAAATATTCAAAGGAAACTGTTCTAATGAAATATTACAAAATAATGTAATTTTGCTTACTTCTTTAATAGGAACATGCAGGAGAGAAGGATATTCGGAGTCTATTTTTGAAAAAAAAAAAAAAAAAAAAAAAAAAACCGGTTATAATATCAGAGAGTAACATTTAAAGTCACACAGAATGATAGTATAATATTATAAGAGAAAAGTCAAATGATTATTCTGGAGACCAACATATAAAATATGACAACAGAAATATTTCTTACTAATAACAGCGATACAATTTTTTTCAAAATATACAAATGGATACATTATAAATTATAGTAATGAGATGTACAAGACTTTAAGAAGAGAATACAGCTATATAAAATATAACTAATTACATCTAATAATCCTATACAAATGCAATATAGTGTTATGCCCGAACAGGATTGCGAGAAACATATATACATTCATGCCGATTCTTCATTGTTTAATTTCTTTAAATATAATACAGGGCAATAATATTTGGTGGCAACAATCTGAAAAGCGAAACAACGCTTATCGTGAATCGACGCAAAATGCCAAAACGAAATTAATAGTCCTTCTGGGCAAATTGCCCCTTCGGACTAAAAAATCAAACAATAACAATAATGAGAAAATAACCATCCTCTAAACGATTCAACTGGCGAGTATCAACTACTGCTTTTGAGAGTTTATTATTATGAGAATTCTCAAGGGATTAAGGCTTTCATAAAAAAACCAAGTCCCATTCATTATTCTATTTTATTGCAATTCTAGTAATATTGACACTGAAAGCTAATAATCTAGTTACAAAAATTATGATTACATAATTTGGAATAAAATTGAGCCTTTAAATGTGTAAAATTATTTATTTTAATTTTTTTAACTAAGGTGGCCATTAGCAGAACATAGTTATCAGATTTTACAACTCTACACACTTGATATAACAGAAAAACAGTGTTATAATTAAAGAAATACACATCCTTAAGCTTCTCTGAATTTTCTAAATTTGATGGTAGCTGAACATCTAGAGTCAAGTGAGGCAAGATGAAAGGAAGTGACCAGAAATTATACATAAATTTTCTTTTTAACACTATGACAATTGCTGTTACAAAAGTATGACTTCATAAGCCAGCATCATACAAATGTGGCTTATCGCTGCCAGCAATTCCTAGCCTCTAGCAGATAAATAATTTTGCATGCCAATGATTACCACCTAGCATCATATTATTGTGACTTAGTTCTCCCATCAATTATCTGCCAGTATCACATAAACATTAACATAATTAAACCAATTACTGGTTGCTATGATCTATGTATGATTTCTGAAGCCAAATATTTCAGCTAACTTTCAAATTTCTAAATAATATGGCTTAATTCCTTCAAGAGATACCTATTATACATAAACCAGTGATTACCAGCTGCTTTCACATATTATAGGATTTGGGAAGCCAGCGAATATCAGCTAACGTCATGGTACCATGACTTCATTTTGGCAGCCCCAGCAATATACGTATAATTTCAATCTGCCAACATTCATCACCTGGTATACTGTAAAAATACCTGTTGTGCTATGAATATATTACAAGGTATGGCTATTAATTTCCAGGAATGCTCTAATAACACCAGAATAGATGATGTGAAAAACGTAACCTTTTAATATGTTTTGAAGTAATCCTCATCTGCCGTAATACACTTCTGTGCTCAGCTGAATAAGTTGCAGAAACAACTTTTAAAGTCCTCTATCGGAAAGCTCATCAATGTTGACGTCACGTTGCATGACAATGCCCCCCCCACATCGCATTCCCAGTAGAGAGGTTTTTGGTCAAGCATGAGGTCATGGAGCTGCATCATCTGCCATACCCTCTTGACTTGGCCTCCCCCACTTTTTTTTGTTTCCAAAATTAAAAACTGTGATCAAAGGAACACACTTTGTCGATGTTAGAAGACATCAAGAAGAACATGACGTCGACATTGAAGAGCCTTCCAAAAGAGGACTTTAAAAGTTGTTTCCACAACTTATACAGCCGAGCGCAGAAGTGTATTACGGCAGATGAGGATTACTTCGAAACATATTAAAAGGTTACATTTTTCACATCATCTGTTCTGGTGTTATCAGAGCAGTCCTGGAAATTAAAAGCCATACCTTGTATTATTGAATTATGATTAATTTCTTCAGTTCCAAATTAAATGCCCAAAGTTGTTTCCATCGAGAAAATCAAGTGCGATACTGAAAAAATGTGTTTTGATGTTACTTGATAAAAAAGTTCGAGTTTCTCTCTGTTGAGATATTTGTAATCGCATTCTTACTGGTTAAAAGGAAGTATAGCTTTCTGTCAAGTCCGAAACATTCATTAGCTTTCAGCCAGGTCCGAGTTATTCTGAAACTAAATCCCATTCTGCATGTTACTTTTGATTGGTTATTTATTGACTTGTTTATGATTTGTTAAACCATTATCTGTTGTGAAGTTATATATATGACCTCTGTAACCGCTTATCGTTGCTTGAATTATTCTGCTTGTATATCTGTGCTTGTATGTACTTAATTTCTGCTTGCATGTAACTGCGTGTATCTCTGCATATCTCGGTAATAAATATTTGCTTTGCGAACCACGGCATTTTCTATGTTTAACAGCAGAGCGTGGTTCTTTCAAAAGTTAGAATTTGCTGATAGTTCCCTAATTGAACCTTCAGTGTAATAATTTATCGTTCGCGTGATTTTGATTTGGTATATTGTGAATGATGGCTTCCGGAGGAGAAAGGGAAGCTTTTGGTGTAGCGCCATTTGACGGTGTTAATAACTTTACTGTTTGGTGTCGAAGAGTTTGAGCAGTATTTACGGCAAGGGAATTGGATACGTTTTTGGAAACAGAAGCAGTTGCGGACAGAGTTGCAGATGTTTTGAAATCAAAAAAGGCTTATGCCTTAATACTTGCCCTTCTAAGTGATAATGTTATTGCTTCTCTTCAACGTGAAGACACTGCATGTAAAATATGGAAGAAACTACAAGCTATGTATAGCGCTAAAGGTGCAGTGAGTCAAATTTTAACACGTAAACGTCTAGCTGCCATAAGGAAATCCAGGGATGTGTCAATGAGACAGCATATCGACAGCATAATGAACCTGGTGAGTAGTCTATGCGTCTCTGGCTCTGAAGTAAGCGATTTTGATATTATTATTTACATTTTAATGTCTTTGCCAAAAGAATATGAAAATATTAAGGCATCTCTAGAGAATCAGCCAAGCAATAATTTGAGTTTAGATTTTGTTACAAGTAGACTTATTGACTGTGAATCTCTTTATGTTTGATTATAAAAATGAAAATAAGTATTCTAAACCAAATACAGATAACTCTGTTTTTATTAGTGCTCGTAAAGAACTGTTTTGTACTTATTGTAAAAGAAAAGGACATTCTGTTAAATTTTGTAGGAAAAAGAACTGCGTCTGTCATAACTGTGGGAAAAGTGGTCATTTCAAAAGTGAATGTTTTGATAATTCTAAAAAGCAGGCAAATTCAAATAGTAATAAGTATGCTTTCCCTGCAATATCTTTTATGGTTGGAAATCTTGTGCATGATCAATTTATTATTGATTCTGGTGCAACTTCTCATATGTCTTCTCACAAGGAATGAAATGAAGTATAGTGAAAATCCCGATTTAAAAAACATGCGTGTATTTGGCTGTGATGCTTATACTCTAGTGCCACAATCGCAAAGAAAGAAACTAGATGAAAATTCTGTCAGAATGATATTTGTAGGTTATTCCACAATGGGATATCGTTTAATGATTCCAGAAACAAGACGCATCATTGTTTCCAGAAATGTTAAATTTAATGAAGAAAAGAAGAAAGTAGAAAATGAAAAATATATTTGCGATAGTTCTGATTTGAGTGAAAATGACAATGATGACATTAAAAATGAAGACAAATCAATTTCAGACACTGATAACGGCCGAATTAAATGATGCAAATAAGAAGGAGGAACAAAGAAAATCCTCAAGAGAAAAGAAACAGCCAGTTAGGTATCCTGATCCTGAGATTTACCAAGTAATGTTTGCACGAGACACTCTGACATTTGAAGATATTGTAAATCTAACACAAGTAGAACAAGAACTATGAAAAAGAGCTATGGACGAGGAAATGAAATCTATGGAAGATAACGACGTCTGGGATATACAAAGTTTACCCCCTGATAAAAGAGCTATTTCCTGCAAATGGGTTCTACGTAAAAAAACGAGATGGAACTTACAAAGCGAGGCTTGTTGCTTGTGGCTTTATGCAAAAGGAAGGCATACATTATACAGAAACGTTTTCTCCAGTGATTAGCATGTGCTCTTTACGTTTAATCCTGGTAATTATCAATAATGAAGGTCTGCAAACTTTTACTTTAGATGTCAAGACAGCTTTCTTGAACGGTAAGTTAGATGAAATCATCTATCTACATGGACCAGCCAAAAGGATATGATGATATGAGTGGTAAGAAATGTAAACTTAAAAAGAGTTTATATGGTCTTAAACAGTCTCCTCGACAATGGTATCAGAAATTTCTTAATTTTGTTATTAAATTAGATTTTAAGCAACTGGACTCTGAACCATGTATTTTTATCAGAAATTTAAATTGTAAGAAAGTAATTATGGCTCTTTATGTAGATGACTTGTTAATTGCAGGTTCAGATGTAAAAGAAACAAATATTATAATATCATTGTTATCAAATGAATTTAAAATTTCAAAATCTGAAAGTGTCTCAGAATTTTTGGGTATTAGACTGAAATTTGAGTCTGGTTGTTTGTATTTAGATCAGAAACCATATATTGAAAAATTACTTGATAAATTTAAAATGTCTGATTCTCAGACATTTTAAATCTCAGAAAAATTGGGCTGATTGTAAAACAGCCCAAACTCCCATTGAACCAAAATCTACAGCAGCTGATTTTCAGAAAGGAAGTGCATTTCATGGCCCATACAAAGAATTAATTGGATCTTTACTTTACTTAGCATATATCACACGGCCAGATATTATTTTTGCAGTAAATTGCTTGAGCCAACTGCAGGAGCATCCTACTGATGTTGCCTGGTGTGCTCTAAAAAGAATTCTTAGGTACT